TTTCCCCATCTATAAAATGAGATGGCCCTCGCCAGCTCCTGCGTTCTCCTGAATGGGCACACTGTTCCTTGTTCTGAGGGTCCTCTCGGCAATCCCAGCCTCCTGCCTCCAGGGGCTTCCTCCAGGAGGGGCTTCCTCCAGGGGGGGCTATTTCAAGGCCATTGGTGGAGGACCTGGGCTTCAAATCCATGAAGGCCAAAGCTCTTCCTTCTCCCCTCCCTCGCCCCTCCCAGTACTCCAGGATGGAGGGTGCAGGACTGGCTGAGTCCCATGGCTGGCCCCGGGCCTGGAAACTCAGAGTTCAGGGCTCCCTGTGGCTGTAGGTGGTCCCCACGGAAACCAGAGGGGAGGTTGAGTTCAGTCTTGAAGATGGGGAGAAACTCCCCAACTACTCACGGGCACTCTGGGAGGCAGACTGGAGGAGGGCCATCTCATTTTATAGATGAGGGGCACTCTGGGAGGCAGATTGGATGCGGCACCGCTGGAGATAGAAGAAAAAACTGGGGTTCTGCAGCATGCCCCCTCCCTACCCCCACCAAAGCAGGCCCCAGTTTCTTCACCTATTCAGGAGACTGGCCTGGTTCAGAGGTGAGGCTGGGGTCAGTGGATGCTGCTCTCTCCCTGCCTCCAGGGCCCTTTGGAAGGCCCTGCTTCTTAGAAGATCAGACTCCTGGCCCGCCTCCCCTCCATAAATCCCCACCCTCTCAGGTAACCCAGCAGGCCCCAGCTTTGATGCGGCCATCTCCAGGCTGCTGTGTCAATGGGCCTTCTATGTGATCAGTGGGGCCGCCAGCCGGCCATCGTGGGCACGGGTGAGGCCTGGACACACAGTCCCACTGTGTGGGGCCCGCGCATGCCCGCCCAGACCCTGTGGCCAGTGGGGGGCTCTCAGGAATGTCTTTCCAGACTGGGGGGGCACTTTGGACAGGCAGGGTGGTCTGGGAAGACGGGTATATGCAGGGTAGCCTCTGGAGCTGCTGTCAAAGGGGCCCAGGAGACGTGGCGCCAGGCAAGCGCCATGGAGGGCACGGGAGGCTGGCGGTCAGTCCGTTTCTCTCCCGTTGCTGGGGGAAGGGAGGCGCCTCCGTGCACCATAAGGGTGACCTCCTCCCTGGGGTGCCTGGGGCTTGGACTTTCATTACTCAAACTGGAAGAGTCCCCTGTTGTTGGTCACTGCCCAGAGCTTAGGGAAGGACGCAACAACTGACCTCTCAGGTCTGGACAGCTTCCTCCCTGTTCATTGACCTCTGAGTCAGACCATCCAGCTAGGCCTGCCCAGAGTGATGTCCACCCCTCTGTACAGGCCCTCCTCATGCCCAGGAAGCCACGCTCCGTTTCTCCAGGTACCTCAGGGGAGGAGCTGCTGCACAACTACCCAACCACGGCTAAGCGGACGCTGGCCAAACAGTGGAGGCCGCACGCATGCCAGGCCCCTTCCACTTGTTTCCCAGAACTCTCTGCTCTGCACCGGGCCCTCTGCCTATTCAGGGCTGCCCAGAGCCCTCATTCTCTCCTGCCTCCATACCTCTGACAGCCCATTCCCTGGGTCTCGTACGCTCTTTCTCCCTCTGTCATCTCCTCACCCTGCAAGTCCCAGCTGAGGGTGCTGCCTCTTCCTCCAGGGGGGCCAGTGCCCCTCCTGATGTCCCCCATCATAATACTGATCACACCCCATGCACACTGTGGTCTACTGATCTCTTTCCTCGCCAGGCTGTGAGCCCTTCAAGGCCAGAGAGCCTGACGCAGTCACCCGTGTTCCGCACGTCCCCGCACCAGGCCAGGCGCATAAAAGAACGATAGTTCCCTGCTCACTTCCTTCCCTCCAGAGCCCCCCGGGTTGGTGGCATCATCATTCCATTTTACAGATGGGGAAGCAGAGGCGCGAGAGCAACTTGCCCCAGGCTACACAGCTGGTGAAGGGCAGAGTGGCGTCTTGAAGTGGAACAATCTATTCCAGAGTCCAAGTTTAAGTCTCTGTACGCTGCTCCTAACGTGTTTTTGTGGAATTACTGAATAAATGAAAGCTTTGCCTCCTAGGACCACCCCTAGCCCCTGCATGGGGCAGTTTAGATGCAGTTCCTTTCCTGGAGGGGTACCCTTCCTCAGCATGCCCGGGGGGGCATGCTCTTGTCTGTATGGGCACAGTGTAGGGGTGCTGTGAGGGGGGTCTGCCACCAGGGGAGCACCACAGAGGTGCAGAGAAGGGCCTCGTGGGGCAGATTGAGGATAAAGGTGAGACCCTCAATGGAACTGTGGATGGAACTTTGGGCCTGCGTTTGCCAGATGGGGAAACTGAGACCCACAGAGAAGAAGGGACACACCATAGTCATGCAGTATGTCTGTCGTTAGGCCTCAGCTTCCCCATTTTTCAAAGAGAGGAATAAATACCCCTGTCCTGCCTGGGGGAGTCCTGCCTGCCACTCCGCTGCCTCAGTTCTGCCATCAGGTGCCAGCAGGGTGGGTGAAGCGGTGCCTCCTTTGTCTCCCCCTGAGCCATGGCTGCAGGGGTGTCACTGCTGCTCCACCCTCATCCCAAACCTCTCTATGCTGAGAGAAGTTCTGGAATCCAGATTCTAGGTTCTCAAAAGCTCTCTGGGGTGAGGTCTTGGGACCCACTGGCTCCATCACATCCTGCTGAAATGAAGGGCTGTAGTTCTGTTTGCACAGAATGCGGGGTGTACGTACGTGGGCAGGAAACACAGCAACTTGCCTTTCACTGACCTATAATTGAAATTTAGCATCTTTTTTCCATGTAATTTTGTCACTGGCGGAAATCACAGCTTTTCTTCGGTTTCATTAGGCTTGTCACTGCAGCCATTATTGAGCCCATGAGGTCTTTTCTCTCCATGTATCACTAAAAGGCACGGGGTCACCACCTTCCACACTTGCTTTTTACAGTTGGATAACTATTTCTCTAGATTTGGTTTCCTTCATACGTCGGTGGACTTTGTTCATGCATTTAAAGCAAAGCGGCACCTAAGCTTCCTGGGGTCCCCGGAAGGTCTGTGATCTAGGACAGCTTAAGGGCCCTGCGTGGCGGGGTGGAGCTGAGCGTGGCAGGACCCAGAGGTTAGATCTCTTTGGGGGCAGAATCAGTAACTGCAGCCCCTTGAACCTCCTGGGCCAGAATTTGGGGTCAGATCCCCCTCCCTGGCACCCCAAGTGAACATACTATAGTGAAGCACGGGGACTGGAGCTGGAGGGGAAGCTGGACATGTGCACAGAACTTCCCCACGAAATTGCAGGGAAAGCCTCAGACCTCGGCCCCTGGGGCCTCCCTGTCTGTGGGCACCCACTGGGCCCAGTGCCGCCCGCTCTCCCCTCTCCCCCTGTGTCTCTGTCTGCCACCTCTGGGCTCCACGGCATCTGGAGCTCCACAGCATCTGGAGCCCAGCCCAGGCCCGCTGACCCCTTAGTCCTGTCTCCCAAGTTTTCTTTGCTTTAAAATCTACATTTCTCCATCTTGCTCATGGAAGGAGAAATACAGATTACAGAAACTCGGCGAATGGTTTTTATAAACTCTTATTTTCTTGCCGCAGAACTGCCTTTAATTAGCTCTGAGGACTACAAAGGGAGCTGCAGCAGAGTTGGGGCAGCGTGAAGGAAGGAGCCGTGGCTCTCAGCTCCTGGCTGGGCTGTTGCTTGCCCCCTAGCTACGCCAGGTCCGGCCACAGGGACGGCAGCCCCCCGCATCCCCCAGTCAGTCCCCTCTGCAGCCACACAGCCTGCCGGCTTCTCCCAGGGAGGACAGTCCCACACAGCTGTGTCTTGGCCCTGCTCAGAGCCAGCTGCAGGACAGGCAGACGGGCAGACAGACAGACCAACTTCTGCATCTCAGCTGACCACCTCAGCTGAGAAAAGGCAGCAGCCGCCCCCCAAGCTCTAAAGTCCAAGATGCCAATCAGCCCCTCTGTTCTGGAGGAGAACAGACCCCCGCTGTACAGTCCCGAGGCACTGCCCTCCTCACAGCCATTTCCAGCCTCAGACAGTTAGAATGTCACAATCAGAGGGGCCTCTGTTTGGGCACAGAGAGGTTAAGCAACTTGTCTAAGGCCACTCAGCAAGGTGGTCACTGAGCTGGGACTCTTAACTCCCAGACCCGGGTGCCACAGTCCTGTCTGAGAGGAAGGCAGCAGGGAGCTGTGTGAGGCCAGGGCATGTCAGCCTGAACCCCACACTGAGGAGGGAAAGTCTCCCCTCCAGTTCCAGTCTCAATCAGAGGCCCCCAGGGAGGGAAACCGAGAAGCTATGCCTGTGGGGGGAGACCACCCAGACCTCTGTGTCCCTCTAGCCACGCGGAGAGGCAAAAGCCACCCAGAAACACTTTCTTTTCCCCTGTGACCAAGTCGACAAACCTTCCCGAGACCCACTTTCCTCCCCCACCCCCACGGGTCCAGTCTCAGTGCGGCCCAGAGCTGAGCAAGTTCCCAACAAGAGCCTGTAGCCTCCTTCTCCCCGTTTCCCTCACCCCAGGGATTACTCCAAAAACGTGGGAGAAGGTCCTTAGGAAGAGTTCTGAGTGCTGAGGGGCAGCTATGCCCCCGCACTCCTCTGCCCCCCTGCCCTCTTCAGAAGCCGGCGAGTCTCCCCGTACAGGGTCGCGTTCCGGGGTAGCCCAGGGGCTGGGGCTACTGGGCCCAGGAGCCCCATCAGTGAGGCAGGAAGCCATGGGTCACAGGGACACCCTCCCATCCTCTCCAGCCCAAGACCCTCCGAGGCCTGGCCTTTGAGGTCTTGAGGTCTTGTGGTACCCGTTGTCCCCACCGCTAACTGTCCCCACCAGCTGAGGATGAAAGTCCCACAACAATGTTCCACTCCAGGAGACCACGCAGGCCACCAACCCCTCGTCCCACCTCGGGCTTTCAGAGGCCAGCACATTCAGGCAGACAGGTCGTGCTTAAGGCTGCCAGGGCAGCCGGCGGAGGGACGTTGGTCCGGGGCCTGACCACAGCTCCCCACCCGAGAAGGCAGGCCCAGGGCCCCGGGCAATCGTTACTCACCACGGATGAAGGTCGGCGAGTAGGTCGGGAAGGAATCGAAGATGCTGTTCGATGCCATGCCCCGCTCTGAGAAGGCGAGAATTCAGCCCTTCAGGGGGTTGGGTTGGGATTGACTTGGTTGGCTGTTGTTTTATTTTTTCCTAGCTACTTTTGAAAATAAAGGGGGGGTGGTGGTGGTGGTGTTGCTTTTGTTTGTTTTGTTTTGTTTTGTTTTGTCTCTTTTTTTCCCCCTACTGCTACGAAAAAGAAAAAAGGAAAGAACGCGAGAGCGTGTGTGAGCGAGAGAGAAAAAAATCCCCAAGGAAAGTAAGTTTCTGTTTGTACCCAAGAATTTGGATTCCCGGTCCCACAGGAATGTCTAGCCACAAATTTTCAACAGAAGCGTGTGCAGTGTATCATTAGATGGCGGGAAGGGGCCTTCAGCAGCCAGGGCGGAGGAGCTCGCGGGGCCGAGAGAGCAAAGCCAGGCCGGGCATCAGGCTGGGGAATGAATGAATGAGGCTCACCCCCGACAGAGCCCAGGCTCAGTGGGTGCGAGGGCGGCCAGGGGGTGGGGAGCACCAGGAGCCAACCAGCTCCCGAGCAGGGCCCTGAAGGCGGCTGAGGGCCTGGCCTTGTGGTTCTGTGGTTGAGGGACCAGGCCTTCACAGTGTCAACCCAACCTCAGCTCACAGGATGCAAGAAGCCAGCTGGCGGCCCGGGCCCATTGGCTGAGCTGTGGTCACCTGGGCGTGATGTCACGGCCTCTTAGAAGCGCTTGTGGCTGCCTCTTTCTCTTTTTTGGAAAAAAAGAAAGAAAGAGAAAGAGAGAGAGAAAAAAAGTGATGGCTTTTATTTGTGGGGCTGGCCTCAGCACGCGGCCCGAGACGCAGAGCTGAAAGCCATTGGAGCGCGGGTGGCTGGGCGGTGGCTTGGATCCTGTGGGAGACTCCTAAATTAAGGCCAGCGGTGGCCTGGGCGGGCTGGGAGTCCCACCGGGCCCTCACCGGCCCTGGGCTTCCCTGAGAACCCCACCACCAGGGTTGCAGCTGCACCCTGCTGCTCTGCACCCCATGCTGCCAGGGAGCGGCATCCTCGTGTGTGGCTGGGTGGCGCTTCAGGAGGATTTAATGGGAGTTGGGATTACGCACAAATGGGAAACACATGCAGTGGCATCACCGCACTCACACTCCGCCCAGGTCTGCCTGTGAGAGCTGCTCACCGGGAAAAGCCTTCCTCGTGGAAGCTGGGGCACGGCCATGCAGAGCTGGCTTCTGAGGCCTGCGCCTGTCGGGCAAGACTCTTTGGTCATTTTGCTCACCTGTGCGTCCCCTTGGGCATCTCTGCTGCGGCCTGATGTGCCCAGGCCCCCTGCCTCCAGGCCTTTGCTCATGTTGCCTCCGGCACACCCCACGAGGGTCTTTGGAGGGTCTTTGTCAGTTGTCCCCTCTTTGGACTCTTTATCCCAGACTCTCAGAGGGACTCGAAAAGAGAAAAGACATGGAAGATGAAACTACATTACACTTCTGTACTTGTAGAACCCGGCCAGGCCTGGGGCAATGTGGTGGCTTTTACCACATTTTCCCTTGCAGGCTCTACTCTCCCATTTCGCAGGTCAGACCACTGAGGCCCAGGAAGATGAAGTCAGCTTGTGCAAGGCCATACGGTGTACTGAGTGGAATTAGAATGTCAGCCTCTGACTCACCAGCCAGGGGCCTCCACAGCGCCCTCTAAGCTAACTCCTGAGACTGAAAGCTCTCTGCAGCCTAGGAACCAGCACCCGCCTCTCCAGGGAGCCCACGCTGGGGCCAGGCTGCAGCCCCAGCCTCAGTCTCTTGTGGTCCCGGTAGGCCAACACAAGCAGGAGGGACTTCCAGGAGGAAGAGGGACTTTAAGACCGCACAGTGAGGCCACACAGGGGAGCGGTATGCCCTTGGAAACACACTGTGAGTCATCTGGGATCCCGACAGTTCCATCTTCTGTCCCTGAATGGCAGGTTGAGGGGTGTATTTGTGGGGGCTTGGCTCTGAGTTGCTCAGGAGAAAACATGTTTATGGTGAAAGCACAGGGCTCTGGAATCCCTGCTGCACGCTGCACCAGCTGGGGGGCCAGCCCAAGTCCTCAGGGATGTTCCCTCTGCTTCCCCAGGCAGCTCCAGAGGTTCCCTCCAAGTGTGGCACTTACTTCCCTTCTCTAGATCTCAGCTTCCTTCCCCATAAATAACACCTTCCCCAGTAAGGTGCCCCAGACGCTGGTTTCCTTGCCTGAGTCTGGTGATTGACGTAATGTGGGCTCCATTATGAGTAAGCTCAGGTAAGGACCCATCACCGTCACTAGGGGGGCAGGCCGACCTGGTTGTAAGCCCCTCAGCCTCCAGCCATGGGGGCTCAGCCGCACAGGTGGAGCCTGCCAGGGGGCCCATGTCTCCTGGTAAATTCGGAGCGTTTTGGAGTCCACCTGCTGTGAAATCAGAGATAGATGCGGCTACAAAGACCCCTTAAACAGAGGTGGAAACTGAGGCCCCCCCAAAGGACAGAGATTCACCCAAGCTTACTCAGTGAGTCAGTGGAACCTGGGGCCCCGCGCTTCCCAGCTTGGGAGTTGTTTCCACTCTAGTGACACCACCTCCAGTTTTTAACACACCACCCTACGCACTGTGCTGTTTGTTTCGCGTGTGAGAGTGGCCCCCCATAACACCTGTAAGTCGATCACCCTGAGGGACTCCCCCTCCCTGCGAAGCTGAGTCCAGGCCCAGGAGCCCTCTTGCTCCTGGGCCCATCTGGGCAGCCAGCAGCTCTATGCATTCTTGGGGCACTGGAGCAAACACTCACTGGGGACCAGGTCTGCTCCTGCCCTCAAGTAGCTTAGAATCTATATGTGCCCCCTTGGAGCATGTGCAGGAGATGGAAAGAACCCTGGAGGTTGCCCAGGGAGGCAGAAGGAAACGTCCGGAAGCCTGACTTCGGCCCTTATTAGCTGTGGAAATGTGAGCAAGAGGCCTTATTCTGCTGAACCTGCTTCCTTTCATGCTGGAGGGGCCAATAGTGATACCCATTTTTTTTTTTTTAAAGATTTATCTATTTATACAGGCACTGGGTGCAGTCAGAGGCGTGGGAGGATGAGAGAATTCACCAGAGCCAGAGCGGAGGGCAGAACAGGCAGAGTAACGAAGTACACTGCTGAGGGGAGCAGCGGGCAGTAGGAGAGGTCTGCGCGCCATGTGGGACCCTTGCCTGGTGGCCGGGGATTGAACCGGTGCTGCAGAGGCTGCGGGCAGCTTCGCAACCCAGCGCTCAACCGCTGCGCCACCGGGGAGGCCCGATACCCACTTCTTAAAATTGAAGGGGGGTTCAATGAGAAAACACCGTACATGTGCCTGGCATGTCATGGGTGCCCAGTTCCCAGGGACTTCCTTCCCTGCGACTTCTGACGGGCAGTCTCTTGGCATGCAGTGGACAGTCAGGGTTATTCTTGTTCTCTGCTGGAAAAAAAAATAATCCAATACCATAGAAGGCTCTGAACCAATTAGATGAGGTTAATAAAAAAATCTGATTGAAGAAGGCCTCCCTGGTGGCACAGGCAGTTGAGCACCGCACCGTGAAGCTGTCCACAGCCTCTGCAGCACGGGTTCGATCCCAGCTGGCCGGTGAGAATCCCACATGGCACAGCAGACCTCTCCTGTCTCGCCCGCTGCTCCCCTCAGCAGTGTATTTCGTTCCTTGCTCTGTCTCTGGTGAATCCTCTCACCCTTCTGTGCATCTCTCTTATACCCCGGTTCTTGTATAAATAAATAAATCTTTAAAAAAATTTGATTTGTGTTCCTTAAACTCTTTAATTGCACTTTAAACTCTTAGACGTGCATTCAGTGCCTTTTCTCCCGTTCTAGCTAAAGTCAACCCAGAAAGCGTCTCCTACAACTTCCAGTTTTATTTTCTTTAAAGCAGAACATGAATGTGAAGATGCTCATGAAGCCGCCCACATCCAGTTGTATATAGATTTTACTGCTTTCCCCGATCGTTTACAATGTCCTGTATCTAATTCAACTTACTTTTTCGCTACCTGCTTCTTTTCAAAGTCCTCAAGTGAGATTTCATGGAAGCAGACATTGCTGTTGGCATCACAACCCAGATAATGGCGTCGCCAGTGGTGAGGGGCCGCTCGGGAAAACAGAGCACCTTTGAGTGATGGTTCAGGGGCTGCTGACAACACAGGGGATGGAAGAGCTGAGGGGCCAAACAAAGATGGTGAGGAGCCCCGAGATCAGCCACAGCAGGAAACCACCACCCCTTTTGGCAGTAGGGATGCAGACTGGTGTGCCCAGAACCCCCACCCCGCTCCCTGGCAGCAGGGCGAGGTAGACCTGCCGAGCTTTGCTGGGGTTTGCTGGGGCCACCGAGGAGACGAGCAAACATGGCCCCATGAGCAGTATCTCCACCTCCGGAGAGAAGATGAACACCTGGCTTCTCTGCTCCTCCTGAGACTCAGTCTCCTCACAGTGCCTCCCACTGGCGGATGGGCTTCCAGCCAGCTTACTTAGGGACTTGGGGAATGCAGCCTGAGGAATCAGAGGGACCCCACACTCTAGAGCCAAGAAGGGAAGGGGTGGCGAGGACCCCAGGGCACAATGGCCCAGGGCTGGTGTAATGTCCAGTGACGTTCTGTAGCCACAAATCCCTACTGGTGCAGATACGTTTGGGGACCAACCAAATGGATGTTTGGCAAGTTGGCGGCTCAGGGGCTAGTGGGAGCAGACAGGGTGGGATCATGGCACGGCACCTGCTTGCCAAGGGTGTGGATTGGCTGTCCCAGCAGTTGCACCAGTGCACCCCTTGGCACCTGCTATGAATGGTGATGACATCTGCTTTCTTAAGCTGTGCGCGGAGTCTGTTTGCACTGTCACCGTGGGAGACTATGATTGGGGAGGTACTGGCTGCCAAGCCCATTATGAGCTTTACAGCTTCACAGTCAGTACCCCTGTGAACCCCACACCTATAGGGCAGGTGTGGCTCCCTTCACTTTTCCAAGAGGCAGTGACCAATCCTTGGGACTGACCCGCTAATTAGCCTCCCGGATGTTGGTGTGGCCAACTTGGACCAAACTAGCGGCATAGCTGAGGTGGGTCCTGGTCTTGGCCAACTTGGACCAAACTAGCGGCATAGCTGAGGTGGGCCCTGGTCTTGGAGTTCACATTCTGGCTTCCTGCAGGAGTATGGGAGTGCTTGGCACAAGGAAGGTGACACCTGCTACAGGCTGGCTAAGGGGCTCCACTTGCAGGGCCCAGCATGGTGTCCAAGATAAGATGCACCTCGCCTCCTGCTCCCCAGTCAGCCCCCACCCCCCTACTGCTCTGGTGCAGTGTGCATGCAGGCAGAGTAGGGGCCTGCAGGGTCACGCAGCTGCCCAGGCCCAGTGAAGGGGCCATGGCCAAGGACCTGGCATGTGAGGCGCACACACTGAGAGCTTTACACACAGTGTGTCCACTGCTGCCAAGTGTCTTCCTGCCAGTTTCCAGGGACAGCTTGACAGGTGGAGAGGCTGCGCCAGGTCACCCAGGCTGCAGGTGGCGGGGGCTGGGGGGGCAGGATTCAAACCCAGCCTGCCCTTTAGCTATTTTCTGGGCTCCTTCTCCCCTCCCTACCCCCAGCCTCTGTCTTTCCTGTTGTTTGTTCTAAAAACTGCTCAGGGTGCCCCCTTCAGAACCAAGCCCCTCCCTCTTCTACCCCATCTTCCTGCCTCAGCCCCCTCCTCCAGGGCCCTCCCTTTGCTGGACCCTTCACTGTCATCGCCACTGCGTTGTCATAGCTTATGCCATGGGTTTAGTGGCATATGACTGTCTGCACCCACAGCGTCTGCTGCACCAGGGTCCCCAACAGCTCTAGCCTTTCCACCTGTCTGAAATTCTACCATTAGGAATTTCAGTCTTAAGTCCTTTGTTATAAAGGCAGATAGGATTGGGTGGAGGCAGTGGAGCCCCTGAGGGGGTGTCAGCCAACCGGGAAGAGCACAGCCTGGCTTTCACTCAGCCCCATGTCTCCCCTTTAAAAGAAGGACCCATGCCACTCCCCATCCCACTACCACCTCTGTACAGGCAGAGCAGAGCTGGATCTCTCCGTTTTATAGCTGGGGAAATTGAGGCTTGTGGAAGGAAGGGCCTCATGTGCACTCACATGAGTGAATTAGAGGGGTGCAGCGGCAGTTCTGCTGGGTCTCATCAGCTGCCCCTCGGTTCCTTTTCTCTCCCTCAAGTTCCCTGCAGGGAGGTTGGGGTGCTGAGGCCTTGGCGTCCGACGAGTCTGCTCCCAAAGCTACCCAGCTTTGGCACTTGAGCCATGCTGTGTCACCTGAGCCCACCAGAATCTCCCTTTTGTCACCTGTCAACACCCTCTCTGCCCCTGCAAGCCCTCTCCTCTCCCAGGTGTGTGGGTGAGGCGGGAAGCCCTGGGAAATCACATGGCAGACACTTGCCTGGGGTGCATAAAGTCTCCAGGGCACTTGGTGCCCCCAAGACTCCTGCCCTCACACCCAGTCCCAGCAAGGCTCTGTGGCAAGAGGCTCTGCTCTGCCAGCTGCCGGGGAGCCCCCCAGCCAAGGGCTGCCTGAGCCTGGGGCCAGGAGCAGTCAGCGCCCCTCTCCACAGTTGGTCAGGCCCCTTGTGTTCCTTTGAGATCTAGAATATGCTCCCTTCCCCCAGAGTCCCAGCCCCTCAGAAGAAGAAAGAAAACCCCACTCTGTAGCCCCTTTTGGCTCATAAAACCCTTTCTCTGGGTCTTTCCTTGGAATAATCTATTTTTAGCATCAAAGAGCTCTGCCAGGGGCTTAGACCTGCTGAGGGCCGACCACAAGCTGGGCCTGAGCGGGCGCTTCTCAGTGGGGTGTGGCGGGAGGAAGGTGTGCCCACTCCCAGGACCCACAGACGGGGCGGGAGGCCTCTGACCATGCTCCAGACACCTCCCTCCCATTCAGTCAGCGTCAGGGCCAGGCCTGGGGCCCGCCCTCCGCGCCCCGTTTCCTCTCAGTGCATCCTTACCACAAACCTAATAATAATAACAATAATCATGAACCAGCACTGGTGCAGCTCTCACCACGCGCCAGGCACTCTCCCAAGAACCTTATGTAAATTAGTCAGGATTTGAACCCAGACAGCGGATCTTACCACCATCTCCTTTTATAATCGAGAAAACAGGCTCCGAGAAACACATGGCTTTTTCAGAGGGACTAGATAAAAACCGTGAGGTCAGAGTTCAGGACGGGGCTGTCTGACCAGGGCCCTCTGGCTTGAACTCACCTGACCTCTGGGCTTCCAGGCATGGCACCTATGACCTCAGTTAACCTGGGGTTAACTGGGGTGCACAGTAGGAGGGGGTGCATGGCTGGCTCACAAAGTCTCCAGGGTATTTGGTGGCCCCAAGACTCCTGCCCTCATACCCAGTTCCAGCAAAGGGTGTGTGTGGAGGACACACTCTCCCCACCTCCCTTTCCACTGAGAAGAAAAAGGGAATCCACTGAGGTTCAGAGCTAGGACCTGGCGGAGCTGGGTTTTGAACCACCTCTGCGAGGATTCCTGAAGCCTTCCCTAGAAGCTGCCATCTCAACAGTCACCCCCCTCTGCCCCCAGCCCCCTGCTGCTTCTCAAGAGGGGATGGGCCCCAGAGCAGCCAGATCCAGTTGTCATTTTCTGAATATATTCGATCTTAATGTTTTCTCCCCTCTCTTCCTCCCTCCCCTTCTCTCTCTCTCTCTCTCTCTCTCTCTCTCTCTGTCTCTCTCTCATCATGGCCCCATTTGCAGGGGTGTGCCGGCCAGCAAATTTGCTGACCCAGGCAAAAGGAAAGGGGGGTGTCATTATGTGGTTGGGAAATGGTGGGGCATTTTGTATGCCACCGACCTAGCATCCCAGGAATTCCAGCAGCCCTCAAGGCAATGAGAGAATTAGCTACTATCCAGGGCTGCGGCCTCCTTACCACATATGTGCATTTTCTTTACTTTAAAGGAAGAGGCTTTTAGCCTCTGTACCTAAGAGGTAGCCCTGTAGGAAAAGAGGTTTCCTGAGGTAAGAAGAGAGCCCTGGCCAGTGAGGCTACAGGCCAAGGCTGACACTTGGGGCAACCCAGCCCCGAGGGCAGGCCTAGCCCTAGGCTAAGACCTACCCCAACGGGCCTGGTGTGCTGCTCTTGCCATGAAGCCAGTCTCTGTAACTTGCTGCATGAGGTTAGACGGGTTCTTCTTCCTCTCTGGGACGGTCCTCATCTGGGAAAGGAAAAGGTGAACTCACCGTCTTAGTTTGTGTTGCCCCAAAGACAGATCTTGAGTCTAAGAAATAAGATGTGAGCAGTTTAGTTGGGAAGTGATCCCAGGAAGCGAGGGTGAGGGAAGGAGAAATGACTTAGGACAGGGAATTCAGCCCATACCAGGTGACCAGGTGTGGGAATGAGCAGCTTAGGGCTTGGGCATCTGCAGCTCAACCCCATGAGACCCCTCTGAGGAACTGGGTGGAATAAGGTACAGACCTGCTCCCCAGGGGGTGAGGGAGTGTCTGCCAACTCCCATCACTCACTGGTTGAGGGCTGTACTAGGAATGATGACCCCAGCAATGCCTGCTGCTTCCCCCCCCGGGCAAAGCTCACTCAGGGTCTAGAACATGCTCAGGCTGCTCTGTCCTTTAGGGGAACTGTTTGGATTTCTGTATTTCACAGACATTGCCTTCAGACTCCTTTCAACCCTCTGAGCTCCTGCACCATTAAGGAAGTGATGTGTTGGCATAGCAGGTGGGGTGCAAGAGCACCCCCTCATCATTTGTCCCAGGGCCCAAGAGGCCACTGTCCATGCTTCAGTATGTTGGACGTTGGTTTTTAATAGTGTCCACTGGAACCCTGGAAACAGTGCCTCAGGGTGCCCCAAGGAGGGAGATGAAAAGGATTAGGCTGAGTTGGGGGAAGGCTGTGTTCCCCACCACTTCCACCAGAGAAGCCTACTTTGTCTTTTTACTTTTAGCTTTAATTTATTTTAGCTTTAATTTATTTCTTCAATGTTATAAATGCTGTGATTTAAACAGACATTTCTATAAGACTCTCCTTCCTATTTCTCTCAGAAAACCACTTCCAACTCCTTTAACTGTTTCTTTTAGTACTTTATTTCATTAAACACTGTGTTTACCAAGTTCATGATGACTTTTCAATTTTAGACATTACCTATTGACTTTCCACTATGGAAGAAGATTGGTTCCCTTTACCTGGCCTTCTCCTTACCATTCACCCTTTCTTGGTTTACTCCCGTGATTTGATGAAGCACCTCTTCCAATAGTCTCCCAAGAAAGGGTACGTGGAAGTTAGATTTATTTGTGAACTTGCCACACTTGATGATGTCTTTAGTCATACTTCTTGGGTAGTCTGGTTGGGTATAGAAATCATGGCTGAAATAAATCCCCCCCCATAATCCCGCCCCCCATCAAAGGTATTTCTCCATTGTCTTCTTGCTTTTGTACTGTTATTGATAAGCCCAAAAAATCCTGATTCTTAATTTTTGACCATTGTCTGTTTCTCTCTCTCTTTCTCAAAACTTCAGAGATACTCTCTGTCCCAAGTGCTCTGAAATTCCACAATGAGATGCCTTTGTGTGTGTCTATTTTTATCCATCGCTGTGGACATTCAGTGAGTTCTATGACTGAATCACCTCATGGTGATCAATTTTGAGCAGTCTTCATGAATTATTTCTTTGACTTTTTTTTCTCATTCTTTCTTTTCTTTAACTTATTAACTTTTTTATTGGAGTAATATCGGTTAACAACACTGTATAAGATGTAGGGGAATAGGTTCACACCTCCTCAGCTGTTGCCACACCCATTACCAAAGTTCCATAGTCCTTTACCACAGATCATTGGGCTGCCTCCCCCTCCCTTGGTTCCCACTTGGTTACTCTATTTCTGTGAAGAATTCCATTGAAACTTCAATACAAATTGCATTGAGTCTATATATTGGGGAAGATGGACATTTTAACAGTGTTAAATCTTCTAATCCAGAAGCTTGGAATGTCTTTCCATTTCCTTCTGTCTTCTATTTCTTTTAGTAATGTCTTATAGTTTTCATTAAATAGGTCTTTTACTTCCTTTGTTAAGTTTATTTGTAGGTATTAAATTTTTATTTATTTATTTTTTTACATCAGGTGTAG